GGTTGTAGTGTCGATCGTCCGCTTGTTCGCCCTCGAAAGAGGATAAGGCGGCGAAAGGCCGCCTCGGGAGACCGAATAGAGGAGATGGGCTTGAAAACGAGTGGTGCTGGGGGCTGAGGATGAGGAACTCCCTTCTTTGAATTTGGAAATCAGATTTTCTGCATTTTGGGAGATAGATATGAGGAGTGCGGAGCAGAATGTGGGAGAAAGTCATGAGGAAAGAAGGGGAGAAGGGAATATATGAGGGAATTGTCCAGATTGATTCCTAGGCCATGGAAGTGGAAGCACTCGAGAAGAAGAGAGAGAGATGAGTTGGGTTTTCCTTTTCCTTTTCTTCCATTGTGAGGAAATGTGATTGTGAGGTTTTGGGTATTGGATGGAACAAGTGGACAAGAAAGACCAAGATTCACACAATTGTGTTGCTTCAGAGCCACTATATCCTGTATCCAATATCCTAAGGCTGTCACAAAGGGGGCAACGTATTTAAAATAATTTATTAAATATGTGCATGCTGTGTAAAAATTAACAATAAAATTATAGAGTGACTTTTTTAAGAACACCACCTTTTGTGGGGTTAAAGTCGGATCCCCAATTTGTATATAAACAAGGTCTTAAATGGGATGAGAAAGTCGAAGTCTACAAGAACAGTGTCCGATATATATCAAGTCAAACGACAACAAATAAGAAACAAGAAAAAAGATACAAAGCAGCAAGAAACAAAAGGTCACACGTCCTGGTCCGAGAAAAGTCCAGGCAAAAAATCTGCACCACTGAAAGCCAGAGACATCAACAGGTATGGACCGCTACGCAAATCTGAATAAGGGGTATCACATCTAGTCCATTCGTATGAGGGTCGGAGGCGAAGAGGAATATCGTCAGGATGGAGGATTCACATCTGGGTGGTGGATATCCCAATGCAAGCAGGGAAGTCAGCAGGTCGGTTCCCCTCGCGTAAAATGTGCGAGATCAGATAGCGAATAGTCTGAAGTGTAGCTCTGATACGCATGAGAGGGTGTTGAATCTGCTACGGGCCCTGATGGCCAGAGGTCAAGAGTGTGATGACAGCAGTAGATCCAACTGTATCCAAATGTGAGAGGAGATCCAGTCGACAATTGTTGACCGATCTAAAGCGCCTGAACCTCCGCATCATATCTCGAGGAGGCCCGAAGGGGAGCATAGAAAGCGGTAATAAGAGCACAACTATGGTCCCTGATCAGGCCCCTACCTTCGGCAACTTCGGTAAGTCGGTCAAATTAACCGTCAATGTTTAGCTTAGACCAAAGGGCCTCGGGTGGGCGTGGCTGCTGGGGCAGGCGGCAAAGGAGGCGGTGCAAAGCGGTGGGTGACGTGCAGCATGTCCAGTCTCTCAGGGTGAGTCTACCAAGAGCGATGAGGAGAGAAAGGTGTATGTCAATCTGCAAAATAATATGAGAACACAAAAATGTAATATCCATATGCTTCACATGATTCCTTTTGTCCAGGTGAACCAAAGGATCATATAAAGAATAAGAAAGCCCACGTGTCTAATGTGTGTGTGCTGTGTTAAAAAACTCAGAAGCACAAAGAAATTATCTGTGGTGGGAAGGGAAATATGAGTGTAACTGGTATAATGCTCCCACACTCTCCTCACAGTCTCACTCAAGAAACAAATGGGTGAAGGTCTCATTCTGGAAGCCGTCGGTCTCAGCACAACAATAGCAACGAGAGGTGAACGAGAACCCCTCGCATGCATTACAATATCAATCGGGATTCGACGAAAAAAAAGCGCCATAGAAAAGCAGAGATGGTCGGAATAAGTAGGTCGGTCCAGGTGGCCCCGAAGAGGTGGTTAGGCCGGTCACCAGGGGCGGACGCAGACTCGCAACCTAAGGGGGCACAAACGTAATCTTTACCAAGTGTAAAAAAAATGATATTTATTCTCTGTATGTTCTTATATATTATCACTCATAATTACATAAATTCAAATCTCATTAAATATCTCTTTTTCAAACACCAACATTTTTTTTTCTTTTGCATTAGATATTCTTACGACATCAGCATTCGACTTCTTTATAAAAAAGATAAATATTTTATTAGTTAATAAAACAATGACAAACACAATTTAATAACTAATTTTTAAATTATGATTATAATTTGAAGAACATCTAAAATTCAATATATATCAAAATCAATGTTGTCTTTTGTAGAAAATCGATGTAACTCATTTATATATGTTGCCTACAACATAATAACAATATAAAATGCAAACAATTTAAATTAAAAACAAAATTATATTATTTTACAATATGATTATATATATACTAATTTTTTTTAAAAAATAACACAGGGGCCTGTGTCACTACAGGCCCCTATGTAAGTCCTCCAGTGCCGGTCACCCAGCCGTACTTCCCCAAAATCGAGGTCGTAGAGAATGAACCCGTAGATGTAAGTCTTCACTTCATACTGTCCAAACCGCCTCCCGAAATGGGAATCTGTTGGATCTGATCTATCTTCTGGTTGCTAAAACCCGCCTACTGCCCAGAATGAGTGACTCTTCAATGAGAACAAGTGTTAAGTGAAAAAAAATAAAAATACATCATAATCATTAGAAAATGTGATTAGTTTACACACCCAAATAGTAGGACCCATGCCACCACACACTCAATCACACGTGGACTTCTTGATACCTCACACATCTCTTTCATTTCCTCTCTCTCTCTCTCTCTCNCCTCACACATCTCTCTCATTTCCTCTTTCTCTCTCTCTCTCTCTCTCCCTCTCCCTCTCACACACACATACAAGCCACTCACGCACAGACACACCAAACATACACCACACACACTCGGTACACATAAGACACTCACATACACACATACACACACACACACATTGTACACACATATTGAAGTCGAAAGCCCTCGTCCAGTCTGCCATAACCGTCGTCATCTTCCTCTAGCTCCGACCTTCCTGCCGCCCTCTTAGCCATTGTTGATGGTCGTGCCATCAGCCTACCCCCCTTGTTCGAGGGGAGGAGGGGTGTGGGGCCCCCGGTGATGGTCGTGCCATGCACCGGGGACTCATGGTCTTCCACACTGCTCCAGTCCTAGGGTGAAGACCCATGTTCAGACTTTCTGTGGTTTTTTCCCTCCCCAGGACTCCACCCCGTACCCTGAGCATAAGGTGTGATTCATGACAAGCCGTGCCATCAGTCTTCCCCCTTGGTTTGGGGGGTGTGGGCCCCCGGTGATGGTCGTGCCCATGCACCGGGGACTCATGGCCTTCCACAGTGCTCCATTCATAGGGTGAAGACCCATGTTCAGACTTTCTGTGGTTTTTGCCCTCCACAGGACTCAAACCCCGTACCCTGAGCATACGGTGGGATTCACGACAAGTCCTGGTACCTCTAAGTTAAACTTGCCAGAAACAGTCGGATAAGCATAGTTCTGCGTACCTAATGCTCTCAGCCGTCGTCGCACTGTACACGCCCGCCGCCGCAATGTACACAACCGCTGCTGCCGTTGTTGTATGATCTAGACCTGCCGACACATCTCGACGATCACCATGATTATGGTTTCGATCGATGTACCTCACCGCTCCAATCGATCGCAGACCGTCGAATTCACTGGAAAAGATATGGAAACAAGTGTAATGGAATTTTTGGGTTGGGGATTTAATCTAAAAATTAGATACTCTGCAGGGATCTATTTGCATATTTAGGAAGTTTGGTTAATTTACATTTAGGTCATGAGACTAATATGTAATTTTTAAAAACATTAATAAATGGGCATTATTACTAAGCAATACACATTAAATAATTATTTGTTGGGGAATACACAATAGTATTTTCAACCACCCAAAAACTAAAACTATCATATGTTGAGTATTTTTAACCAAAAGAAGCATAAAAAATTAAAATAGAAATATTAAAACACTAAATATATTTTTATAATATAAATAATAATATTTTTTTATTATTTTGTTAATTCCGTTAACCGACCAAATAAATCAATTATATTTATTCGGTTTTAATTTGAATTTGCACATAAAAAACAGAAACTGCATATTGCACAATAGTATTAAACAAGATGCACATTAATAAATATTATAATGGACAACAGTGTTAGAACAAGTGGTATAATTAAGGGAAGCTTGCTTTTTTTTTTAGATTTATTTTCTTGGTAATAGTTAAATGAAATAAATTAATACGTGTATTATTTATTCAGGGCTAATTGAAGGCAATCCAGATGGACTTTTTTTATGAAGAAGATACAGCCGCTGAATAGAACATTCCATAAATGGAGATGACAGAATCAATCAGGAACCTACCTTAAGGAGCATGGCTTGGCAGCGAAGAAAATTTTCACTTACCATATGTGAATCCGAATTTAAGTGTTGTGACAATTATAAAGAAACATTGATCACTTAGTTTTTGAAGTAGAGTGCATTTTCTGAAAAAGCAGAATAATCCCTTGAGTTTGGTTTTTATATTTTTATGGAGTGGTGAATCAAGTAAGCATCTTGATCACTTTAAGTTTGTTGTTCTGAATTGTAACAGAGTGTTCAGAGGTTAATTCTGATCTGTTTGAGGAAGACAAACTAAAAAACCACAAGGGACTTATGGTCAGATAAGTAGTCGTGTAGGTAATTACTTCAAGTATAATGTAGAAGGATTCTGCATAGTAAATCCTTGAATAATGGTTGTGATATCTACAATATTGAAAGAGATCCGAAAGGAGAGTGAGACGCTCTCCTGAAGGTTCAGTTTTTTGAGAAACCTTGCTTTTGCAATTGTGTGAACCTTCTTATGTTTACTGATTATTGGTTTAAGCGCTATTCTAGTAAGTGAGCTACCCAACTCGGGTCGTTCTCAAAGGAAGGATGTTTGGAGCTTCGTTCACTATCTAGTCGTCAAAATCACATAACCGAAAATAGGGTCCTACACATTCTACTCGCTTGATGTGGATTGATTGCACGAAATTAAAGTAAGAATCTAAGAGCAAATGATGGAAAATGCAAATATAGAGAGAAAGGCCGAAACTTTTGTAGCGCGAAGTATCCATAACTCAAAAAACAAAAATAAACAAAGAGAAAACATGGTAGCATAGCGATCTTAGGTAACCGAACACGAGCTTTCTACACTAAATCATCACGCCTTGAACAAAGTCGTGGCTTTTGCTAGATAAGCACGTATTGATTCCTAACACATGAAGCAAGCAATGAAAATAAAGCAAAAACCTAGAAACGAGCATAAACACAAAATTCAAAGAAAAAACTCGAAGTAGTAAGTCTTAAGAAAGGTACTTTACTCTACTACCGCGTGCCCGCACAAAAATAATGAATAAAGCTCGGAACTTGAATAAAAATAAGCTTATCGGAATTGCGCCAGAAAAATGAGTTATGAACCTCCAAACCAAACCATAAAAAGAAAACATAGAAAATGGAGAGGATTTCCCTACTTAAAAGTTGGAAAGTGTGGGAGTTGTTACAAAATACAAAGCACAATGTCTATTTATAGCTACACCACAAACACACACTACAATAGACACATTAAATGATCCAAACTCACAGGTTAGGTCGAACTCGAGAGAAAAAGGTGGGATTTTGCGAGCAAATTCCACGAGGAAGGCAGCACTCGCGGGCGGCATAGGAATTCGCGGGCGCGGGGCGCGGACTCGCGAGCATGGCAGCGCACCTCGACACTCGCAAGGTAGGAAGACTCGCGGGAGTGAAGAGAAAACTCACGACCTGCCAGCGCACCTCTGCACTCGCGGGCAAGCTGAAGTTCGTGCGAGCGGCAAGAACACTAGAAGGCAGCAGCTGGCTGGGCGACACTCGCGAGCTAGTATAGAGTTTGCGCGCGCGGAAAGGAACACTAGCTGGCAGCAGCTAGTTGGGCGACACTCGCGAGCTGGTATAAAGTTCGCGCGCAAGGAAGGTACACTCACGGGCAGGCGCGAATCGCGGGCGCGGGCTCGAGGCGCTGGAAATGGTCCTGGTGGCCTCTTGAGGCTCGGTTCGCTCTACTTTCTTGCATGCATATTCGATTGACTTGAAATTTTTAGTCTTGAGATGCGTAAATCGATATCACCACGTAATCAGTAAGTATGCTCAAAAATGGTTCGCGTGGCTCAGACATGGTTTGGAAAGCTCGAAAATGTCTTGGAAATGGCTCGTCTACCCAAACTCGAATAGTGTGGACATAAATAACACCAAAAAAACAAGAAGAGTATGTCGAACCACAAAAACATAAAATGAGAGCAATAATGCACGAAACACGATAAGATGGATCGATCGACACTAAAACGAACCCAAAAACACTAAACTAAAGCACATAAAACACATGAAAATAAGCACAAAAGCACAATAAACAACTCCCCTACACTTAATTCTTTGCTTGTCCTCAAGCAAACAAAGCAACAAGTAGCTCGAAAAGAAAATTGAGAAGTCCAAAATTAATGAGCATGCGAAATGAAATTCTCATCTTCATCTCGGATGTCCATAAAATTAAAATCCAATCTGAAAACACGTTCCACACATAGTGAATCCATACAAAACAAAAACTCGTCCCAAGTTATTCTACATATGATTACTCGATTCAAACTCCCTCTTTTACATACACGTGCAAAAACTTTAATGATCTACTAAATATGAAATGATAAGCACGAGACCAATAAGCCAACTCCCCTTTTTTCTCTCTCTTTGTTTTTTTTTAATGAGCTTGTTTTTCCAAATGAGAGCAGTTAGGACAATTATTACCTTGAATTATCCTCGGGGTTTGTCCCCGAGTCTCCTAGGCCGGTTTCTCGTACTCATTGACCTGATTCATCGAATGGAGACTAACCAAGTCAAGCGGAGTTTAATCCATTCAACTCTCATGAACTCATTTTCGTGAGCTTATTTTTCCAAACGAGGTTTTCAGACGAGATGATCTAGGTTTAACCTTGAGGGGTTTCCTCGAGTTTTTTAGACCGGTTTCCCGGGCTTATTATGCCATTCCACGAAATGGCTTGGGGTAAGAGGAGCCTAATCCGTACTTCGTCGGGCACAATCACGGTCATTGCATTTGCATGCTCCAGCTGACTCGGCAGTCTGTCTTCCTTCAGCTTCACCTCGATGTTCCCCACTCAGGTGGCCAACTGAACTAGCTGTGCTTCCAACCATTTAATGGAAGCCTCACTATTCACACTCTGCTGCTCACTATTGGCCATGTACTGAAGAATTTTATCCAGTTTTTCGTTTGAGTTCGGCGGGCTCGGTTCGGCTTCTAGTGCTGGCAACCTTAACACTTGTCCCATGTGTTGATGCTGATGGGGGACAAAGTTAGGCTGAGGTGGTTGTTGAAAGTTGTTATTGGACCTGGAGAAGCTTGGGTGGTTTCTCCACCCGGGATTATAGGTGTTCGAGTAGGGGTCATTTTCGGGCCATTTTTGACATCCTTGCACAACATTCAGTTCAGCTCCTTGCCCCCCATAGTTCGGCTCGATAGCCATAAGGCACACCTAAGAACTGTGTCCCTGTACTCCCCATGCTCCACAAGCATTTACTGCCATCGTCTGAATCGGCGAGGAACTTCGAGCATTCAGTAGCCGCATCTGCTCTGTGAGCTCGGCTAATTGTTGGGCCATGGCATTATTACTTGAACCAACCTCATTCACTGTAGACCTCTTCCCTCTGACACTTTTCTGAGACAAGTTAGCACTTATCGTCTCGTAAATTGCAATCATCTCTTCCGCTTTTTTGGCCCCAATATCCCCTCCAACTACATTGTTCATCATCAACTGCAAGTTCTGGTGGACAGAGTCGTAGAAGCAATTCGCTAGTAGCCCTGGAGCGAGGTTGTGGTGGGGGCACTGCCTCTGGAGGTCCTTGAAACGTTCCTAGGCCTCATGAAAAGGCTTGTGTGGCAGCTGAGCGAAAGAGACGATTTGGGACTGAATGTCTTGGGTCTTCTGATGGGAATAATACTTCCCGACAAATTTTGACCAGACTTCGGCCCAAGTTGTTAGAGAATCCGGGGCGAGAGTTATGAACCAAGCTTTGGCCCGGTCCTTCAGCTCAGTTGATCCTCAGTCAGCCCATGCAGAGGAAACGTCTGGAGGACATTATAAAACTCCCAGAGAAAGTGGAGTGGGTCCTCGTTGGGGAGCCCGTGGAATGATGGGAGTTGATTGTAGTGGACCATCTTCAGCTCATAGTTGCGGGCGGCTTTCCCCATCCGGATACACGAAGTGATTGGCCGGATCATTGGTTGGGCCATGTTTTGGAGGAGGTTGCGAGGAGGTTGTTGCTCGACCATGTTTGAATTACTCCACTCGGATGACTTGGGGGAAAGCTCGTTTTCCGTGTGTGAGTCGAGGGTAAGCTCGTCCAGCAACCCTCTCAAGTTCTCGTTAATCGATTTGTTGATCGGGGATAGTATATGTGTAACACCCCGCTCATCAGAGTAAATTTTTCGCAACTTATTTCGAAACATACTTATAACTTTTTCGAAATATTCTTAACTCGGAATGCTACTAAAACTTTTAACTTCTTTGAAAATCTGTTTTCTTAAACTCGATAAAACAGATTAACATTTTGAACAAGTGTGAAACTAAACTCATTTATAATAATAAACAGAAACTTTACTTAATTATTAATATACATAGCGGAAGTCTTTAAGCGTGGTATTTACAAACCGATGCCTTATTGAATTTCACAATCAAACTTTAATAAACTCACAACTGAATGCACAACTGAATGCACAACTGAATGCACAACCGACACCACAACAGCTTGACTCACACCCTCGGCCCGACCTTGTTACCTGAAAATGATAATAGTGGGACGTGAGTACTAATCAACTGTACTCAGTAAAAACTCATACTAAAGTAAACATTAATAATAATATCAATATCATAATCAAAGGTATATATAAGCTTCTCCCGGACATTGGTCCGGTAACTTTAACTGAACTTTGCAACTACCGTACTGCCGGTTCTCACGTGATCACATATTGGGGGCTGCCTCCCCAAA